GACAGAGATTTGTCCTGACCGTGGGCAAGGCAGGAAAACTCAAGCTACACTCTCCTTTTATAACATCCCCTGAGTGTTTTCTTTTTCCTTGCCTCATCTTGGCCCTTCCTGATTCCTAGTGACACCTCAGCAAGATACAGAATTCACAGTAAAAGAAGTCATTCTCCTGATGCAAATGCCAAGGAGGAGGATTTGGTCTTGCTTTTGTGTGTGTGTGTGTGTGTGTGTGTGTGTGTGTGTGTCTATGTGTTTGTGTGTATCTAGTGTTTGTGTGTGTGTCTATGTGTCTGTGTTCTAGTATTTGTGTGTATGTGTGTGTGTGTGTGTGTGTGTGTGTGTGTGTGTGTGTGTGTGTGTACACCAAAGGACAACCATGGCTGTTATTCCTCAGATGTTATCTGTCCTGATTTTTGAAAGAAGACCTTTCTCTGGCCTAAACCTCACAGGTTATGCTTGGCTGACTGGCCAGGGAGCCCAAGGTATGAGCTAGCCTATCTCTACCTCTCCAGTGCTGGAATTAAATGTGAGTAGATGCTATAATACTCATTTTTTTTTTCATTTAAAAAAATGTGTATATGTGTTTGTTCTCATGTATATCTGTGCACCACCTGCATGCATGGTGCCTGTGGAGGTCAGAAGAAGGCACTGGAGCCATTGGAACTGGAGTTACAGATGATTGTGAACCATCATGTGAGGGTTGGGAATTGAACCCAGGTCCTCTGGATGAGCAGAGCCACCTCTCTAGCTCCAGTACTCAGCTTTTAAAATGTGGGTTCTAGAGACCAACTCAAGCCCTCATGCTTGTGTGGTGGGTGCTTCCCAGTCCAAGCTTTGAGTTCTTTTCAACGTTTTTTCAAATGGCTTGGTGTCAAGATTCTGAAGAGATCTGTATGCTTAATCACACAAGGTTATGATACTACTAATAGCAACAACAAAACTGGTACAACTTGGTCCTCACAAAAGTTTGTAATTAGGCTTAATGTGCCCCTTTCGTAGACAAAGAAAGTCAAGCACAGAAAGAGCATTAAGATAACATGAGCATTAAACAGAAGAGCCAGAACTCAATCAGGCAGCCTTGCTCCAGAATCTGCGCTGCCACGGCTTTGCCATTCTGATGTTGGATGGTAGATGCTTACCACTCACGGGCAGGCTTTGTGTTAGATCTTTAAGTTCTTTTTCTGAGATGTTCATCCCCATGTTCTTCAGAAACGTGTCCACTTTTTCAGCCTTGATTCTCCCCTCTTAAAAAGAGATACAGGTAAGAGTAAAATGTATTAGCTTTAAAATGTGACAAAACAGATGAGCCCATTCTTTGTTATTTGGATAATCGGATGACTGCTGTTGATTGAACTTTCAAATTGATCGACTTTGCTGTCCTATTAAATTTTCCAAATAAAAGAAAGTCTTTTTGAAATTATATATATTTAGATTTCACTTGGGAATCTGACAAACTTTTGAGACTTTCCCAAGGAATGGGGTAGATCTATTTATAATTCAAAATGTAAAATTAAATGCAGTCCATTTATTGGCACTTCTAGGATTCCAGAAGAGACAAATTCATAGAGAGCAGAGCAGAGGCTACCAGGAGCTGGAGGAATGAGGAAATAGTAGTGATTCCCTAGCAAGTACGAAGTTTCTGTTCCTAATGACAGAGAGGCTCTGGAGGTGAGTAGTAGTCATGGCTGTGCAACACTATGAACATGCCCAATGTTAGTGGGTTGTACATTTAAAATGGTAGACTAGGCTGTGCATACCTTACCACAATAAAAATGACAAATTACAGGGGCTTTTACAGAAGATTTTAATGACAAAGATAAAGCACTGTGCCTACCAGAATGGGGGTTCATGTCTGAATGTCCAGGAGACAAAATAAAGCTAACCACAGCCCTTCTTGTACATCTGTTTTTCTATCACAGTCATTTTACCTGTAAATGTATTTAAACCCTCCAGCAACCTCTTCTGATAGGTTTTTCCAACATCTGTAAGAACAAACAATTCAGGCCAAGGAGAAATCAATTATTATGACAGTATAAAAATCATTTCAGAATTATGTCTCTAGACTGATTTTCCAGTTTCTTCCAATTTAAAAAAATATATAGCAACATTTTATGGTAGAGAACTTTTTAAAAGGTGAGCATTTTTTTTTTCTCTTTGGCATGTGTTAGGCAGACTGCTGCTGTGAGATTAACCTGAGAAAACCAATTTCAGGGAGAAAAAAATTTATTTCGGTTCATGGTTCCAGGGATTTTAGATCATAGCCGACTGGCCCGTGTTTCTATAACAGAGATGAGTGAGAAGACCATGGCAGAAATGCCTGACATGGCTGGGATGCTCTCGTCCTAGCTGAAATGCTTTCAGGGATGGAGAGAGAGAGAGAGAGAGAGAGAGAGAGAGAGAGAGAGAGAGAGAGAGAATGCCCATGCAAGAGTTTCCACCTTCTCCACCACACTTTGTTCCATCTGTGACCCCAGATGACTGGGTAGGTGCCACATTCAGGGTGGGTTTCCTCCTTCGTTAATCATTTCTGGAAACACTCATAGGCACACTCCTATGTCTGCTTTAGTAATTTCCCAGGCACTTCTCAAAATGACAACAAAGATCAGGCATCACACTATGTAAAGCCAGCATGATGATGAAGCATGTAGCCTATCATCTCTTTTGCTTTTTATATTCTGATGCCTACTACACCATCCCATTTCATTTTCCTTGCCTCTTTGTTTAATGCTAAGCATTCTTGTAAAAAAAAATCTTGTAAAAAAAAAGTAGGCATTTCTTAGCATTGAAGCATAGTGATGAAATTTACTTTAAACGAAGAACTAACTGCACAATTAAATATGTCTTCTTCGGCTAGGATTAAGCTCTATTGTTTCTGACAGGCTTTTTCACTGAGAATCAAACAGGACAGTGTTTGTACAAAAACCCACAAATATAAGCTTCCCAAAAGGTTACATGGAAAGCGCTTTTAGTAGCAGAACTACACATTTTAGGCTGGATGATTCTTGTGTGCAGGGCTGTCTTATTCATCAACACTTGTTTATTACTGTACGGGTGTTAATAATCCATGGCTTCATCTACTGTTACCAGTGTTACCACCAACCCGCCCCTGCCAGCTGCAACACCAAAAAATTGTCTCTAGATGTTGCCGGTGTCTATTAAGGAAAAACACTGTCTATTTTAAACACTTACCATCAGCTTGCAACTTTTCTACCAGCTTCCTGAATTCCTTATTTGTAAGTTCTACCCCCATGTTGTCTAGAACATCTTCTAAATCAGCCATGGCAATAGGCTCTCCTATAAATAAAAAATAAAAATGGAAACACATGAACTATGAACCAAAGGCTGAGGGGGCCCCAACTGGATCAGGCCCTCTGAATGGGTGAGACAGTTAATTGGCTTGATCTGTTTGGGAGGCATCTAGGCAGTGGTACCAGGTCCTGGGCTCATTGCATGAGTTGGCTGTTTGAAACCTGGGGCTTATGCAGGGACACTTGGCTCAATCTGGGAGGAGGGGACTGGACCTGCCTGGACTGAGTCTATCAGGTCGATCTCAGTCCTCGGGGGTGGCCTTGATCTGGAGGAGGTGGGAAAGAGGGGTGGGCTGGGGGGAAGGGGAGGGGGACAGGAAGGGGGAGAACAAGGAAATCTGTGGCTGTTATGAAGAACTGAATAGTATTGTAAAATAAAATAAATAAAATAAAAATAAAAAAAATAAAAAAATCCAAGAAGTTAAAAAAGTATGTAAATATTCTCATCTTAGCATTGCTCTCCACTATTGTATCAAGAGCAAAACTTCAATATAAACACAGGTAAAAGTTATCTTCTCATAATCATGGGAAAAGTATAACACAGTGTACACCTGTGTAGGGAGTAAGACATCACTATGAATCCTAGTATTTTAGGTGAACTGTATTCATATATTAGCCAGTAAAATTTATGTTAATCTTTTTGTGATGCTCTATATCCCTAACTGAAACTTTATTTATTAATCACGAGTCATTTAAACTCAGTAGTTATAATGTTTCTGAGAAGTATTTAAGAGAAAAAAGACTAGTTAAAGGCAGACAATCAATTTTGCCTAGAGGGGCTGGTTGGAGAGATGGCTCAGTGGTTAGAGTACTTGCTGCTCCTGCAGAGGACCTGGGTTTGATTTCTGGCATTGACATAGTGGCTCACAATTATCTGTGGCTCTAGTTCCAGGGGATCTGATACCTTTTTTTAGGCCTCTAGGGGCACCAGGTACTCACACACTACACAGATATATATACAGGAAAAACATTCTATACATTTTTTTGGCACAGAAATAGTAACTGAAGTATAGCTAATCTACATTTTAACTCTAGTAAATTAGATATATACCACTTATTAATAAAAGATAAAATATTTAAATAATGGCAGTAGCTATGATGAAAGTATCACAATGTGATCTAGCAGAATTTTTTATGTTCTTAGTTTCAATCTCAGTTGTTTATCACTTACCTCTAATTGCTTTTACTTCATCTAGAAGCTTATTGAGACCAATCTTCCCCTCAGCTATGAGAAAAGACACAAACAACTAGATGACACATATAAATACACAACATGCTATTCATAACTTTAGTCAAAATCTAATCCTTTTTGTTATATTTTCCAGATTTTATATTTAACTTATAATTAATAGAATCAAGCAAGTCTTCCAACAAAATAAGACCATGTATGTCCTGGGTTATATGGCCTCTCATGTTCTAAGATACTTTTTGCCTTAGAGAGAGTATAAAATTTGGCTTATACTAGCCATCAAGTTCCATCAGTGGTCATCAAAAATGGAAAAATTCTATCTTTTGCTTAAAATTCTTCTCTCTTATATTTTCAATTACTGTGGCTTTTCTGGATACTTATTTCTATATTTGTGAGACAACTACTAAAGCATTTTCCTGTTCTCTGTAGACTTCCTCATTAAAATATTTGGTAATTCATTTATTGAATATAGAAAACATTAATATGAATTACTTTATATAATAACTGTTTTTGGAGGTATGTTGAGACATTGTTGGTGTCTACAAATGAGTCATGACTAAAAGAAGTCTAATTTGTTAATTCTCTTTCGTGTGCCCAATCATTTCAGACTCAGCCCTCATAAGCCCCAGGAAGTGAGCTGTGTCAAAGTTAGGCCAAAGCTTAGATGAAGAGAAATGGAATAAATAATAGAACAAAGAATTGAAGGAAATAAGTTGGTTCTTTGAAAAATATAATAAAATTGGCAAATCTTTATCCAGCACCTTAAAGGAAAAAAGGAAAGAATGCTTTCCAATACTTGTTTAAAAGCCAGTACTACTCCAATAACAAAATCAGATAAAGACAGAATAACAGGCCAATCTCCCTGTTGAACACAAACACAAAAATTTTCAGTAAAATACTTATAAACACCATTTAAGAACACACAAAAAGATCATTCATCATGATCAGGCTGCCTTCTTTCCATAGATGAAGACACGGTTCAATATATACAAATCAATAGATATAATTAATCACATAGCTGACTACAAGGACATGAATCACATGATCACTCAAAAGAAGCAGAAAAGGCCTTTGAGAAAATCTAACATCCCTTCATGATAAAAGCCTCGAAGATACAAGGGATAGAGGGAGAATATCTCAACATAATGAAATGTAATGTATTCTTTTTTGGACCTGCTGAAATTTCCTAGTTTCAGGACCATCTTAGATTAGCATATATTACAGATATCTGGAGATAATCCTTTGAACTCCAAAATCACTGAGATGTTATCATTCCATGCTCACCTTTGGCTAGAAAGTCATCATTTAGATGTTTACGTTCTTTCTCTGTGAGTTCAATTCCCATGCTCCCAAGAGCTTTGTCCAGGTCACTGAGATTAACCATCCCTCCTTAAAAAAAGAAAAAGAGACAGTTAAACAGCTCCAGTGCACTCAAGATATTACTACACCTGCACCTTACTTAATGGATGTTATTATCTAAGAGGTGTGATAGAAAAATAATGATACAGTAAGTTATACCAATGACAAGAAGTTGGTAGGGGAATTATGAATGGAACTTGTTTCACTAAATGTTGACTGGAAGAAAAAGGGGCCATATAAAAAGAACAACTTTAGCCGGGTGGTGGTGGCACACACCTTTAAAGCCCAGCACTTGGGAGGCAGAGGTAGGTGGATCTCTCTGAGTTCAAGGCCAGCCTGGTCTACAGGGAGAGAGAGTTCTAGGACAGGCTCCAAAGCTACACAGAGAAACCCTGTCTGGAACCCCCCACCCTCAAAAAAAGAACAACTTTTAAACTAAAGCAGAATCAATTTATCTTGATTTAGAAGTAGTAGAGTCTGTTTTTGGTCTTGAAAGCTTAGACTATTTGACACAAAGTTATAAAATAACTCTTTGCTATATAAAAATAATTCTCAAATAACTTTTTTCCTTTTGGTAAAGTTTAGGATAACTCAAGGTTATATGCAGAAATACAAATAAGTATATTTCCTAATAAAAGCAGTTTGTAAAGAAGCATAAGTAATTAGTGTCTAATACTTATAAATACAGATGCAGGAATTTAATTTTTAAATTGTTACCTTTAAAAGACTGTACAGCATCCAGCACGCTATTCTCATCTAACTTTCCAGCAGCTATGAGGAAAAGTAAATTCATGTCAATCATGTAGATGATTTATGACTCTATAAACTGCTTTTCACATTTACTCTAAATTGCAAGTTGGAATGGCAAACCTTGAAAAAGTGACAAACTCATAGAGTTATTGTGTACTAGGTTATTGTGTACTAAGCTATTGGGTACTGGGACCACCCTCAAACCTTATCACATTGCTGTCTCTACCACCATTACCATGACCATCATCACAGCATCTTATCACAGCAGCTCAGTCCTTAACTGAGTTGTCCTTAACTGTGTTTAATTATATACCAATCCTTTTCAAGGTGCTTTATTTCATTAAAGTCTCACTCTCCTTTTGAAGATGTGGAACTCAGGATGTAGACTGGTTTGAAGTAGCTTGTCCAAGACAGCACAGTGACAGGTAGTGGAACCAGGGTTTGAATCTATAGACTCAGACTTGAGACTCTTAACCACGTCACTCTAGCATTGCTTCTCTTCCATTTCTACTTGATTTCTCCTTTCTTGTCCTTGTACTAACTCTTCACTCTCGTCATTTTTCTTTCTTTCTCTAATCATAACTAAGCTTCATAATTTGGGATAAATACTAAGTTATAGTAACTACTTATGTTTGAAGGTTTTAATGATTTAAGAGGTAAAATTTAATGAATAACTACATGACTTCCAGATAACCTGGGATTTAATTATTTAGTTAATAGAGTTCTAGAATTATTGGTGGGAATGTTCTTACAAGTGCTCATAAATAGCCATAAAATGAATGCCTTCCTATGGCTCAAGAGGTAACTATGGGGCTTACCATCAGTAGGCAAAGTGTCCTTTAGCTTCGAGCACTCTGAATCTGTCAGCTGGACCCCCAGGTTTCTGAGATAACTCTGAAGACCACTTGCAGCAAGCTTGTTGCCTTTAAAAAATGAGAACACAATTATTTGAGAATTTAAGGACCTACTTAATTATTTCAAATAATGTAATACTCATGCCTGCCGAAAGAGTCACCTACAATTTGAGACTAAGCAAGAGAAGAATGAAATTATCCCTTTTTCTGAAAGGGAAAAGTAGAGAAGAAGAAGAGGGAGAAGAAAGAGAAATGGTGAGAGGAAGAAGAGGAGGAAGAGAAAGGAGAAAGAGGAAGAGGAAAAGAGAATGAATTTTAATGGAGGAATCATTAAAATTATCTAACGTATTGAAGATCTTAGTCTAAAGTCAATACTGAATTTTTGCTGCACTGGCTAGTGATCAGAACAACAAAGATGAGTGATTTAATGATGATTCACATTCTGACCAGGTACTTTTTGATCTGATTTATGTGATTAAGCGGTTGTAGTAACAAGGGCAATGATTTTATATTTTTACTATGTCTATCCAAATTTTGAATAGACAATGCTCTACAGCAATTGGTATTTTTAGAAAACAAATTACAGAGTGAAACCACATGCTATGAATATACAACCCACTGACTGCTTTAAAAACCTGAATTATATAATATCAGGTTGTAGTGAATACAATCTCAGTAACAAGAAAACCCCATATATTTTCAAAGTCAGTGACTAGGAAGCTAGAAAACATACGTAAGAAACAGTGTAAAGCTTAAGTATGGTAAATTCATGGTAAGTGTTTACTCACCAGAAACTTTTTTTAATTCATCCATCACCTTTTTAAGACTGACATTCCCATTAACTACAAAATAATAGAAAGCCAAATAATCAACATAGATTACAAATTTGACACAAGATACCAAAAAATGCACCTCTTAAAACTTGCTCTAGAATTGTCTTTACAATTTTAACTTAATTTTGTTTCAAGGTTGAAAGGGACATGTTGCATGCATGTTAAAATTCTTATAATCATCATGCCACTCTGCATTTTCTATCTTTTGAGTTACCCTGGGTACAAAAAAATTGAATTTCAAGTCTTTCTTTGGAATTAATTTTCTTGCTTGGAAACTGTAGAGCATACCTTCCTCTTTAATACATGAATGAAGCAAAACCTAAAACTGGTTCGTATCACATGCTGGTGGTTCAACTGGGTTAGGGAGATTGTCCAATCTACGAATAATTATTTACATTTTCATTTTAATTTGATTTGCTATTTGATAGTAAATGTTGTCATTATAGAAAATTTTAGAATATTATACTTTTATAATATTAATTATATTACTTAGCAATCAATCAACTTGGCATACTGTAGAGGCCTACTAAATTCAATGAAATGCAACACTTTTGGAGTACTTCTTTTGTAATTGGCATTGTTTTTCAAACAATAGACACATAGTAATACATGGAATGAAAGCTTGTATGGGGCATCAGGTGGTGGTGAATGGGAGTAAATCTGAGAAGTGGTACAAAGAATGCTGCCAAGTGGTTCTGCTGAAGGTTAAAGAGAAGTCATGGGGTGACATCTGAGAAGACCTAAAGATGAGGAATGGACTCGGTAGATGTCTGAGAGATGGTCGTTCAAAGTGAGTGAAAAGGGCTTGAGAAGGCAGCCCGACTGGCCATGTGTCTGAGAACAAGTGTTTCTAGAATGGGCTAAGCATGGGAAACGGGCAGAAGATTTCAGGAGGCTCAGCAAATCCTATAAGACCTAATCATAGTAAGGACTCTGACTTTAACCCTGGGAGAAACTAGGAAGCTTGAAGGGTATTTTGAGTACAGGAATTTCATAATGTGATTTGTACATTAACAGGATAATTCCAGATGCTATGTAGAGAACCAGACTAATATCTAATCCTTGAATTATTATTACAGGCTCCCATTAGAACTGTAGCTTTTCTGCCACAGTTACTAGTTCTAACACAGTTTCTCTGTCCGAGTTTTATTGCTCTTTCTGGATTATTGTAGTATCTTCTGACTGTTTTCTGTTCCTACCACTTCCTTTTTACCCGTTCTCTATATAGTATCCAGGGTGGGCATAGCACATCCATGCTGCACAGACACAACATACATGCAAGCAAACACCATATACTACTACTACTACTACTACTACTACTACTACTACTACTACTATACACACACACACACACACACACACACACACACACACACACACACACACAGTAGTCTTACAGATCTCTCCCTGTTTAACTACACAGGAAGGGCATTGCCACCATGCCATATAAGGGTGAACTGACATGTGTAAGGCTGATTGTATTTATAGGGCGACTCCTATGCTGCTGAGAAGCTCAGTGAGGTTAAAGTCTTACCATCTTGCTGCAGCTTCTGAGTCAGGTTTTCAAATTCCTTTTCTTTGAGTTTCATGCCCATGCTCTCCAGAAGAGAATCCAGTTTATTGGCACTAATAGTCCCTCCTTGTGAAAGACACAGGCATGTGAACAAAATTTAAGGAACCAAAAGTTTCAAAATTATTAAATTTTATGCATTGTTATCATTTTCAGGAGACAGACAAAACCCAATAATAGTAAAAAAAAAACCAACAAATAGTAAACAACAAAGAGACTCCATAATGGACTTAATAAGAGAAACCCTTCCATGTGAATCTGGCTTCAAGCACCAATCTACACAGCACACAGTTTGAAAGGATTTGAGAGATGAATTGCATTGTCAGTTCAGCAGAAGGGATGCCAAGTCTTGTGGTTTTGTTTGTTTTTGTGTATGTACAATTTACTTTTTCTTTTCTGAAGCTTCCAATTGTTTCTACTACTGGCCAAATGTCCCTCATAAATCAGTCTTTATTCTTTCCTTTTTTAACATTGTAAGTGAGGTTGACATTTGTTTTCCCCTCAGTACCGCACTCACCAGAGCATGGGGTTTCTAAGAACAAGAGCAAAGGCAGCAAATGGCAAGTAACCCACAAGAGAAGATTGGGTGTAGTAATCACAGCCCCCATGATGTAGTGACAAAGAGACAGCCATTTCAGATCTATCTGCATGTCATCAGGGTCTCACTCACCTGAAAGAGACTTCAGACTGTCCATCAACCTCTTGTGATAGATCTTTCCATCTTCTGTAAGAAACGTACATTTCAGGTCACAGATATACAGGAAAACTCACTAAGGTAAAATATAAAAGCTATACTTTGAAAAAGACTTATTTGACTATGTACATACACGAGGTCAATTGAAAGTGGTAAGTTCAAGGAGCAGAGACAGTTTTTAGTGCGTCCTCCTCATGAGCAACAGCAGCAGTTGGTTGCGGCTAACTTTCTTGCTTTCTTCTTTATAGCCTTGTAATTAATCTATTTCTCTATTATACTTGTCCCAATCTGTTTCTCAATCATAACTTAATGTTTAGTCTTTGCACTCATAGCTGCAGCACAATTCTGTGCCAAGGATCTTGAGATGTATGTTCTTTCTTCCACAATCAAATAAATGTTAATTTTAAAGCTTGCCACCAACAGGGACTACAGAGATGGCTCAGTTGGTAAAGTGTTTACTTAGTAGATCTGAGTTTGTTACCCAGAACCCATGGAAAACAAAAGCACTGAGGAGCAGGAGACAGGAGGATGTCTGTGGCTCACCAGCCAGCCACATAAGCCTAAAAAACAAGCTGGGCAGTTCTCCTTCTCTCTCTCCCTCCCTCCCCCTCTCTCTCCCCC